GCTTTGAATCAGTTTGTCAAACTAAAAATATACAGTCCACACTGACTTACAACCTCGAGTCTTGGTTATTGCGGTTTGTGGTATCTATTTTTTGAAAAAGGAAAACGACAAGTCGAACCCAACTTTTAAGGTTAACATATACGTTTTACCCTGAATTACATTCCGCTTTTGTTGATTTTTTCAATCTTTCGCAGCATTCATGGCCGAATAGTTAAGGCGTCTGACTTAAAATCAGTTGTGGTCTTCGCTTGCAGGTCCGAATCCTTCTGTTTGCTATTTATTCTGGCAAAAAAGCAGATCTTTAGATTGCTGTAAATGCATATTTGAATCCGATTTTTTTTTGCTTTTCAAAATATTGCACTTTTTGTATGTTTTTTGAAGAAAAAGAACAGATGTTCTTTATCCATTTTTGAATTTAAGATATACACTTTACACTGAAACACCAATGCGATTTTTTTTGACACTATCAATCGTTGTTACCAGGCATGCCTGAGTGGTTAAGGCGTCTGACTTAAAAACAAATGTGATCTTCACGCACATGTTCAAATCATGCTGGCGGCGACTCACACTGGCTGAAATGGCAAGATTATAGATTGATGTAAATGCATATTCGCGTCAGATTTTTTCGTTTGCTTTATAAAAATTTGCGATTTTTGGTACCTATTTTTTTTGAAAAAAAAAACAGCTGTTTTTAGTCATTATATAAGGTTCAAGGTGTACACTTTTCACTAAAATACAATGGCTATTTTTGTTGAGACCTTGAATTCTTGGTAGCAACTATGGCCAAGTGGCTATGGAGTTTGACGGAAATCAGTTGTGAGCTTGTCGGAGCAGGTTTGAATCCTGCTGGCTGCACGTAGTACTGGCAAAAAGAGTAGATTTTTAACTTGGTGGAAAACGCATATTTGCGTCGCGTTTTTTTTGCTGATGAAAATTGTTTTTCGATGTCTGTTTTTTTTTCAAAAAAAACATGTGTTTTTAATCAATTTTTAAATATAAATGTCGCATGGAAACACAATAGCTATTTTCTTCAGATTTTTATTGTTGCCCGCAGCCATGGCCGATTCGTTAAGGCGTCTGACTCGAAAGCAGATGTGATCTTCACGAGCTGGTGCGAATCCTGCTGGCTGCGATTGTCAATGGCTGAATTGGCTGGTTTTTAGCTTGTTGAAAAATGCGTGTTCGCGTCAGATTTTTCGCTTGCTTTATAAAACCTTGCGATTTTTGGTACCTAATTTTTTGAAAAAAAAAGAACAGCTGTTTTTAATCAATTTTTAAGATTCAAGATATACAATTTATTTTGAAATACAATGGCTATTTTTGTGGAGATGTTGAGTTTTTGGTATATGCCATGGCCAAGTGGTTGAGGCGTCTATCTCAAAGTCAGATGTGATTTTTCAGCGTAGGTTCGAGTCCTGCTGGCTAAAACTGACACTGGCAAAAAAGCAGATTTCAAGATTGCTGAAAAATGCGTATTTGCGTCCAATTTCTTCGTTTGCATTATGAAAACTTGCGATTTTTGGTACCTATTTTTTTTGTAAAAAACAGTTGTTTTCAATCATTTTCTGATATTCAAGATATACATTTACACTGAAATACAATGAGTTTTTTTGTTGAGACCTTGAGTGTTTAGTAGCAGCTATAGCCAAGTGGTTAAGGAGTGTGATTCGAAATCAGTTGTCATCTTTTCGAAGCCGGTTTGAATCCTGCTGGCTGCTTTTTGTACTGGCGAAAAGTGTAGATTTGTAACTTGGTGAAAAATGCATATTTGCGTCGCATTTTTTTCTTTGCTGTTAAAAGTGTTTTTTGATGTCTACTTTTTCAAAAAAAAACAGCTGTTTATAATCAATTTTTAAATTTAAGTAAACCTGTTCAATGGAGATACAATAACTATTTTCTTAAGTTTTTTTATTGTTTGCAGCAGCCATGGCTGAGCGGTTAAGGCGTCTGACTTGAAATCAGATGTGATCTTCACAAACAGGTTTGAATTCTGCTGGCTGCGGTTGTCACTGGCTGAAATGGCAAATTTTTAGGTTGATGAAAGATCCGTATTCGCGTCAGATTTTTTGTTTTGATTTGTAAAATTTTGCAATTTTTGGAATCAAATTTTTAAAAAAGAATTGCTGTTTTTAATCAAATTAAGTTATACACTTCACATTGAAATACAATAGCAATTTTCTTCAGATTTTCAATTTTTGCAGCACCCATGGCCGAGTGGCTAAGGCATCTGACTCGGAATCAGATGGGTTTTTCATACGCAGGTTTTAATCCTGCTGGCTGCGATTGTCACCGGCTCAAATGGTAGATTTTTAGTTTGATTAAAGATTCGTATACGCGTCAGATGTTTTCTATTGTTTTATAGATTTTTGTGATTTTTCGAATCTGTTTTTTGAAAAAAATAGGACAGCTGTTTTTAATCAATTTGTCAAATTAAAGATATACAGTCCACACTGAGTTACAATCTCTATTCTGGGTTATTGCGGTTTTTGGTATGTATTCTTCAAAAAAATATATCAAGTGGAACCCAATTTTTAAAGTTTTCATTTTTTTTCCCTGAATTTTGATGCGATTTTGTTGAGTTTTTCAATCTTTCGCAGCAGTCATGGCCGAATAGTTAAGGCGTCTGACTCGAAGTTAGCTGTGATATTCACGCGCAGGTTCGAATTCTGCTGGCTGCGATTGTCACTGGTTTAATTTGTAGAATTTTAGGTTGATGAAAGATTCGTTTTCGCGTCAGATGTTTTCTATTATATTATTGATTTTTGTGGTTTTTTGCATCTGTTTTTTAAAAAAAACAGGACAGCTGTTTTTAATCAGTTTTTCAAACTAAAGATATACAGTCCACACTGAGTTACAATCTCGATTCTCGGTTATTGCGGTTTTTGGTATCCGTTTTTTGAAAAGAAATGTCAAGTGGAACCCAATATTTTAAAAATTACTTACTCTTTTTCCCTGAATGATAATCGGTTTTTGTTGAGTTTTTCAACCTTTCGCAGCAGTCTTGGCCGAATAGTTAGGGCGTCTGACTGTAAATCAGATGTGGTCTTTGCTTGCAGGTCCGAATCCTTCTGTTTGCTATCTGTACTGGCAAAAAAGCAGATCTTTAGATTGCTGAAACTGCATATTTGGGTCAGATTTTTTGCTTTTCAAAATGTTGCACATTATATGTTTTTTGAAGAAAAAAGAACAGATGTTCTTTATCAATTTTTGAAATTAAGATATACACTTTACACAGAAACACAAATACGATTTTTTTTGACACTATCAATCGTTGTTACCAGGCATGCCTGAGTGGTTAAGGCGTCTGACTTAAAAACAAATGTGATCTTCACGCACATGTTCAAATCTTGCTGGCTGCGATTGTCTCTGGCTGAATTGGCAGAATTTTAGTATGGTGAAAAGTTCATTTTCACGTCAGAGATTTTTTTTGCGTTGTGAAAGTTCGCGAATTTTGGTACCTATTTTTTTTCAAAAAGGAGAACACCTGTTTTAAATCAGTTTTTTTTAGACTCAAGATTCACACTTTACACTGAAATACAATAGCGATTTTGTTGAGATGTTGATTTTTTTTGCGGCAGCCATGGCCAAGTGGTTAAGGCGTCTGACTCAAAGTCAGATGCGAAATTGTTGCGAAGGTTCGAATCCTGCTGGCTGAAATTGACACTGGCAAAACAGCAGATTTCAAGATTGCTGAAAAATGCGTGTTTGCGTCAGATTTTTTCGTTTGCATTATAAAATCTTGTAACTTTTGTTACCTGTTTTTTTGAAAAAATCAGCAGTTTTTAATTATTTTTTAAGATTCAATGGCTATTTTTGTTGAGACCTTGAATTCTTGGTAGCAGCTGTGGCCAAGTGGTTATGGAGTGTGAAGGAAATCAGTTGTGAGCTTGTCGGAGCAGGTTTTAATCCTGCTGGCTGCACTTAGTACTCGCAAAAAGAGTAGATTTTTAACTTGGTGGAAAATGCATATTTGCGTCGCATTTTTTTTTGCTGATTAAAATTGTTTTTCGATGTCTGTTTTTTTCAAAAGAAAACATGTGTTTTTAATCAATTTTTAAATATAAATTTCGCATGGAAACTACAATAACTATTTTCTTCAGATTTTTATCGTTGCCCGCAGCCATGGCCGATTGGTTGAGGCTTTTGACTCGAAATCAGATGTGATCTTCACGCACATGTTCAAATCTTGCTGGCTGCGATTGTCACTGGCTGAATTGGCAGATTTTTAGGATGGTGAAAAGTTCATTTTCGCGTCAGTTTTTTTTTTTTTGCTTTGTGAAAGTTCGCGAATTTTGGTACCTATTTTTTTTCGAAAACGAGAACACCTGTTTTAAATCAGTTTTTTTAGATTCAAGATTTACACTTTACACTGAAATACAATAGCGATTTTGTTGAGATGTTGAATTTTTGGCGGCAGCCATGGCCAAGTGGTTAAGGCGTCTGACTCAAAATGCAGGGTGATATTTTCGCATAGGGTTTAATCCTGCTGGCTGAGATTGACACTGGCAAAATGGCAGATTTTTAGATTCCTGAAAAATGCGTATTTGCGTCAGGTTTTTTCGTTTGCTTTATAAAGTTTGCGATTTTTCAGTACCTTTTTTTGGAAAAAGAGGAACAGTTGTATTTAATCGTTGTTTTTAGATCCAAGATATACATTTTAGATTGAAATACAATGGCGATTTTCGTTGTGACGATAAGTGTTTGGCAGCAGCAATGGCCAACTGGTTAAGGAGTGTGACGCGAAATCAGTTGTGCTCTTAACGTGCAGGTTGGAATCATGCTGCGTTCACTTTGTACTGGCAAAAAAGAATAGATTTTCAAATTGGTGGAAAATGCATATTTGCGTCGCATTTTATTATTAGCTTGTTAAAATAAAATTGTTTTTTAAAATCTGTTTTTTCAAAAAAAAAAAACAGCTGTTTCTAATAGTTTTTTAAGTTTAAATATACATGTCGCATGGAAATACAATAGCTATTTCTTGAGATTTTTAATTATTGGGAGCAGTCATGGCCGAGTGGTTAAGGCGTCTGACTCGAAATCAGTTGAGAACTTCACGCGCAGGTTCGAATCTTGCTGGCTGCGATTGTCACTGGCTGAAATGGCAGATTTTTAAGTTGATGAAAGATTCGTATTTGCGTCAGATTTTTTTGTTTTGATTTGTAAAATTTTTGAAATCATTTTTTTTCAAAAAAAAGAACTGCTGTTTTTAATCAATTTTAAGATATAAGATATACACTTCACATTGAAATACAATGGCTAGTACAATTTTAGGTTGATAAAAGATTCGTATTCGCGTCAGATGTTTTCTATTGTATTATAAACGTTTGTGGTTTTTCGCATCTGTTCTTTGAAAAAAAAATAGGACAGCTGCTTTGAATCAGTTTGTCAAACTAAAAATATACAGTCCACACTGACTTACAACCTCGAGTCTTGGTTATTGCGGTTTGTGGTATCTATTTTTTGAAAAAGGAAAACGACAAGTCGAACCCAACTTTTAAGGTTAACATATACGTTTTACCCTGAATTACATTCCGCTTTTGTTGATTTTTTCAATCTTTCGCAGCATTCATGGCCGAATAGTTAAGGCGTCTGACTTAAAATCAGTTGTGGTCTTCGCTTGCAGGTCCGAATCCTTCTGTTTGCTATTTATTCTGGCAAAAAAGCAGATCTTTAGATTGCTGTAAATGCATATTTGAATCCGATTTTTTTTTGCTTTTCAAAATATTGCACTTTTTGTATGTTTTTTGAAGAAAAAGAACAGATGTTCTTTATCCATTTTTGAATTTAAGATATACACTTTACACTGAAACACCAATGCGATTTTTGTTGACACTATCAATCGTTGTTACCAGGCATGCCTGAGTGGTTAAGGCGTCTGACTTAAAAACAAATGTGATCTTCACGCACATGTTCAAATCTTGCTGGCTGCGATTGTCTCTGGCTGAATTGGCAGATTTTTAGGATGGTGAAAAGTTCATTTTCGCGTCAGGGTTTTTTTTTGCTTTGTGAAAGTTCGCGAATTTTGGTTCCTATTTTTTCAAAATGGAGAACACCTGTTTTAAATCAGTTTTTTTAGATTCAAGATTCACACTTTACACTGAAATACAATAGCGATTTTGTAGAGATGTTGAATTTTTTGCTGCAGCCATGGCCAAGTTGATAAGGCGTCTGACTCAAAACGAAGGGTGATATTTTTGCATAGGGTTTAATCCTGCTGGCTGAGATTGACACTGGCAAAATGGCAGATTTTTGTATTCCTGAAAAATGCGTATTTGCGTCAGGTTTTTTCGTTTGCTTTATATAGTTTGCGATTTTTCAGTACCTTTTTTTGGAAAAAGAGGAACAGTTGTATTTAATCGTTGTTTTTAGATCCAAGATATACATTTTAGATTGAAATACAATGGCGATTTTCGTTGTGATGATAAGTTTTTGGCAGCAGCCATGGCCAACTGGTTAAGGAGTGTGACGCGAAATCAGTTGTGCTCTTGACGAGCAGGTTGGAATCATGCTGCGTTCACTTTGTACTGGCAAAAAAAGAATAGATTTTCAAAATGGTGGAAAATGCATATTTGCGTCGACTTTTGTTATTTGCTGGTTCAAATAAAATCGTTTTTTAAAGTCTGTTTTTTCAAAAAAAAACAGCTGTTTCTAATAGTTTTTTAAGTTTAAATATACATGTCGCATGGAAATACAATAGCTATTTCTTGAGATTTTTAATTATTGGGAGCAGTCATGGCCGAGTGGTTAAGGCGTCTGACTCGAATTCAGTTGAGAACTTCACGCGCAGGTTCGAATGTTGCTGGCTGCGATTGTCACTGGCTGAAATGGCAGATTTTTAAGTTGATAAAAGATTCGTATTTGCGTCAGATTTTTTGTTTTGATTTGTAAAATTTTTGAAATCTTTTTTTTTTTTAAAAAAAAGAACTGCTGTTTTTAATCAATTTTAAGATATAAGATATACACTTCACATTGAAATACAATGGCGAGTACAATTTTAGGTTGATAAAAGATTCGTATTCGCGTCAGATGTTTTCTATTGTATTATAAACGTTTGTGGTTTTCGCATCTGTTCTTTGAAAAAAAAATAGGACAGCTGCTTTTAATCAGTTTGTCAAACTAAAAATATACAGTCCACATTGACTTACAACCTCGAGTCTTGGTTATTGCGGTTTGTGGTATCTATTTTTTGAAAAAGGAAAACGACAAGTCGAACCCAACTTTTAAAGTTAACATATACATTGTACCCTGAATTACATTCCGCTTTTGTTGATTTTTTCAATCTTTCGCAGCATTCATGGCCGAATAGTTAAGGCGTCTGACTTAAAATCAGATGTGGTCTTCGCTTGCAGGTCCGAATTCTTCTGTTTGCTATTTATACTGGCAAAAAAGCAGATCTTTAGATTGCTGTAAATGCATATTTGAGTCCGATTTTTTTTGCTTTTCAAAATATTGCACTTTTTGAATGTTTTTTGAAGAGAAAGAACAGATGTTCTTTATCCATTTTTGAATTTAAGATATACATTTTACACTAAAACACCAATGCGATTTTTGTTGAGACTTTCAATCGTTAGCACCAGGCATGCACGAGTGGTTAAGGCGTCTGACTCGAAAACAAATGTGATCTCCACGCACACGTTCGAATCAAGCTGGCGCCGACTCACACTGGCTGAAATGGCAAAATTATAGATTGATGTAAATGCGTATTCGCGCCAGACTTTTTCGTTTGCTTTATAAAAACTTGCGAAATTTGGTACCTATTTTTCTTGAAAAAAAAACAGCTGTTTTTAGTCATTTTATAAGGTTCAAGATGTACACTTTTCACTGAAATACAATGGCTATTTTTGTTGATACGTTTAATTTTGTTAGTAGCTATGGCCGTGTGGGTAAGGAGTGTGATTCGAAATCAGTTGAGAGCTTGTCGGAAAAGTTTCGAATCCTGCTGGTTGCGCTTTGTACTGGGAAAACGATTAGATTTTTAAATTGGTGAAAAATGCATATTTGCGTCGCATGTTTTTATTTGCTGTTTAAAATTGTTTTTCGATGTCTGTTTTTTCAAAAAAAAACAGCTGTTTTAAATCATTTTTTAAATTTAAAAATACATGTCGCATGGAAATACAATAGCTGTTTTCTTCAAATTTTTATCATTTGACGCAGCCATGGCCGAGTAGATAACGCGTCTGACTCGAAAGCAGATGTGATCTTCACGAGCTGGTTCGAATCCTGCTGGCTGCAGTTGTCACTGGCTAAAATTAGCAGGATTTTAGCTGGGTGAAAAATGCGTATTCGCGTCAGATTTTTCGCTTGCTTTATAAAACCTTGCGATTTTTGCTACCTATTTTTTATGGAAATAAAAAACAGCTGTTTTTTTATTCATTTTTTAGATTCAAGATATACATTTTACACTGAAATACAATGGATAATTTTGTTGAGATGTTGAATATTTGGTAGCAGCCATTGCAAAGTGGTTAAGGCGTCTGACTCAAAGTCAGATGCGAAATTGTTGCGAAGGTTCGAATCCTGCTGGCTAAAATTGACACTGGCAAAACAGCAGATTTCAAGATTGCTGAAAAATGCGTGTTTGCGTCAGATTTTTTCGTTTGCATTATAAAATCTTGTAACTTTTGTTACCTGTTTTTTTTGAAAAAATCAGCAGTTTTTAATTATTTTTTAAGATTTAAGATAGACACTTTACACTGAAATACAATGGCTATTTTTGTTGAGACCTTGAATTCTTGGTAGCAGCTGTGGCCAAGTGGTTATGGAGTGTGAAGGAAATCAGTTGTGAGCTTGTCGGAGCAGGTTTTAATCCTGCTGGCTGCACTTAGTACTCGCAAAAAGAGTAGATTTTTAACTTGGTGGAAAATGCATATTTGCGTCGCATTTTTTTTTGCTGATTAAAATTGTTTTTCGATGTCTGTTTTTTTTTCAAAAGAAAACATGTGTTTTTAAGCAATTTTTAAATATAAATGTCGCATTGAAATAAAATAGCTATTTTCTTTAGATTTTTATCGTTGCCCGCAGCCATGGCCGATTGGTTAAGGCGTCTGACTCGAAAGCAGATATGATTCTTCACGAGCTGGTGCGAATCCTGCTGGCTGCGATTGTCACTGGCTGAATTGGCAGGTTTTCAGCTTGTTGAAAAATGCGTGTTCGCGTCAGATTTTTCGCTTGCTTTATAAAACCTTGCGATTTTTAGTACCTAATTTTTTGAAAAAAAAAGAAAAGCTGTTTTTAATCAGTTTTTAAGATTCAAGATATACAATTTATTTTGAAATACAATGGCTATTTTTGTGCAGATGTTGAATTTTTGGTATATGTCATGGCCAAGTGGTTGAGGCGTCTGACTCAAAGTCAGATGTGATTTTTCAGCGTAGGTTCGAGTCCTGTTGGCTAAAACTGAGACTGGCAAAAAAAGCAGATTTCAAGATTGCTGAAAAATGCGTATTTGCGTCCAATTTCTTCGTTTGCATTATGAAAACTTGCGATTTTTGGTACCTATTTTTTTTGTAAAAAACTGCTGTTTTCAATCATTTTCTGATATTCAAGATAAACATTTACACTGAAATACAATGAGTATTTTTGTTGAGACCTTGAGTGTTTAGTAGCAGCTATAGCCAAGTGATTAAGGAGTGTGATTCGAAATCAGTTGTGGTCTTTTCGAAGCCGGTTTGAATCCTGCTGGCTGCTTTTTGTACTGGCGAAAAGTGTAGATTTGTAACTTGGTGAAAAATGCATATTTGCGTCGCATTTTTTTCTTTGCTGTTAAAAGTGTTTTTTGATGTCTGTTTTTTCAAAAAAAAACAGCTGTTTATAATCAATTTTTAAATTTAAGTAAACCTGCTGAATGGAGATACAATAACTATTTTCTTAAGTTTTTTTTTTGGTTTGCAGCAGCCATGGCCGAGCGGTTAAGGCGTCTGACTTGAAATCAGATGTGATCTTCACGCGCAGGTTTGAATTCTGCTGGCTGCGGTTGTCACTGGCTGAAATGGCAAATTTTTAGGTTGATGAAAGATCCGTATTCGCGTCAGACTTTTTCGTTTGCTTTATAAAACTTTGCAATTTTTGGTACCAATTTTTTG